TTGCCAGATGCTAAGAATGGCAAGAAGGCAGGTGCCCTAGCATAGGAACCCAGGTAGGCAGAGGGCTGGAGCCAGGCGCTACCTGGGTGTCCCTGGTCTCTTTTACTCCCAGCTTGCACTGCCTTCTACCAGACTACCATGGCTAATCTCCTCTGTTATCAATACCTAGTACATTTTGAATGGTTTAGACTTTAAGCCTCAGAGTAAAAGTAATAATAGTAGGCGTTACATGCATCACAAAATTGACCAGACTTTATTTTACTGCTTTGGACAAGGAGTGCAGAAGATGACATTCACCATATACAACAATAACAAGTGACAGACAACAGTACAGCCTCTCTGACATAATTCTGTATTTCCTCATACACAACTGAAGTGACATTATCAACCTTGTTAAAACGTACCATTTGACCTTTCTAAACGTGCTCTATCCATTAGAGATGTGCCTGGAGGGTTTTAAAGAGTGACAGTTAAATCTAGTTCTAGTTTATGCAAATAAAAAAGGAGCCACCATCAGAAGAGACAGGGGCAGTGTTATATGCTTTTTCCACTGACAGGGAATGTAGCCCTCAGAGGTGGGCAGCACAGGCTGGGGTGGAGGTGGAGAGGGGAGACAAAACTAGATTGGCCTGAGCAGTAGCATGGTAGACTGAGACTTGGGAAACTCAAGTCCCTATTCTGCTACAGACTTCTCATGTGTCCTTGAAGAAACTAATGTGGTTTTCTGTTCCCTGTCTGAAAAATGAGACTGCTGCTTCCTTACCTGATGGAGAGGTGTTGGAAATAAATATATTAAGGATTGTGAGGTGCTCAGACACAACAGTAACAGGTGTCAAGTAAGGATTTTAGTTAGAGACAGCAGCCAGGAAATACAGTGACCTATGTGCTGTCCAAACAGCCTCTACTGGCAGCAGTCCTGTGTCCCTTTACCAGCAATTAAAAGCTGTTTTCCACCAGTGGAACCCCCAAGGGATGGCTATAGGACAAATATTGCCATCTTCAAACACTTCTACAAATCTACCTATTTTCTTAGTTAAATTCATGGTCAAATTTCATGTTGTTCGCACACCCAAAACAACTCAATAGACTTCATTGTGAATTACAAATATGCACAATGTGAGATCAGGCTTCCTGTGTCAATACACTGCAATATTATGAGATGTATAGTATGAAATCTGCATACAAAGCTTCAGAGCTGGTCAACTCAAACAGAACAAGTTGTTTCAGCAACTATCCCCTTGATTGCACACCAGGGGGTTGCCTCTTCTATCAGATTTTTGCAGGTTGTTATATGCAGCGTGTAATAAATGTCCATGTACTAACTATGGGACGCTAATGTGAAAAGGTTTTCTGAGAAGCAGTTTCACATGCAGTTGGGAAATAATTACTTCGTTTGTGTTGAAAAAATGTTTTGTTCTGTATCTTCCTCTTAATGGAGCACATTAGTAGGACTAACCAAACTTGTGTCAATTAATCCTACAATTAGCATGTTTCAGGAGATTTGTATCAGTAGAGTAGCAACATTCAGTTTATTCAGACATGTCCTGACTTGGGGCTATATGTTTATCAGGATGAAGAAGTCACATCAAAAGTAAATAACTGTTCTTTCACATTATAACAAGCAATAGAGTTAATCTTCTTGGGGACCATGAATCCATACAGATATATCCACTTCATTATCTACATCTCAAATTATCAATCACTATTCCCTACTTGAAATTATTTCATTGCTGTTCTCTGTGGGAATACATCCACACCTACTATATTATTCCAAAGTAATCCCCTACTGTGCAAAAAACCGGTCTGCCTGACCTTGCGTGGGAAAGATGGATCACTCTGATAGAAGTAGTTTATAGGAGACAGGAGACCAAATGCTTCAAGTACCATATTTGCAACAATAATAGAAAATATAAAGTGGCATACATTTGAGCAGCTGCTGATACACATTCACCTAAGTTTTTGTTTGTTCATAAGTATGTTCCCTGAGCTTATTTCAATGCATAGTTTATCTACTGTTGTTACTGGGATTTCTGAAGCCGGCACCCATGGATAGCAGCTCAAAGTGCAGAATCAAGCTCCCTTGAGCCAGGGCCATGTCCAACACTACTTTTATACATTATGATCATGTGCTGATTACAAGAACAATCACATAAAACACAAAATGCAGCACTTCACCTTATTACCATTTCTAAGATAGTCCTTTCCTCTAACCAGAGGCATAGCGGCACAGCTCAGCACCCGGGGCTACCACCATGCTGATTGCTGCACTCGCAAGGCTATTTTTGCATCCCCTCACAGAGATGGCACCCGGGGTTGTCACCTCAGTAACACCCCCCTGCCAGTTATGTTACCACTTATAATGATATAAATGAAGATTAAATATTAAAGAACATGGAAAATAGGAGGACTTTGAGTACATGTGCCCCAAACCATGAACGTTATCTTTCCAATAACAAAGAGGGGACCAGGGTGGTGTGGGTACCAAGGCATACAGTTGACAGCCCGGGAGCTACAAGTTCGAAGCCATACCAGAAGCACTCATGGCACAGCCTGTCAGATTTCAACTAATCTCTGAATACTGCTAGAAACCTTGTCATAAGGACACAAGAAGAAAGGAATGACAGAGAATGGGCAGTTTCTCATTGGTTAAACAGGATTCCTCTCTAGTCCTTTGAAATCATATGCAAAATCTAAGACCCTAGGGGAGTACAAGGTAACCAACACTAATCCCGTCTAGGGCTTCATTTACTTAATATTCAATTTTCCAGTTGAGAAAACCTATCTGATTCAGCTTAGCTCTCCTGTTCATGGTGGAGTCCAGATGAGATACTGCCCTACTAGAAAATGGGGAGTGCTCTTTAGCCAAGGAAGACCTAGGTGGCATTCTCTTCTGGCAGCTTCTTCTCACTGGCAATCTTCTTTTTCACCACAGGCAAAAGGGACCAATACCTGAGTAGCTGTATTACACTGCTATTCTGCCTCTATCATTATTCATGCTATGTGCCATTTGGGCATTCCTAGGTCCAAATTAGGGAAAATGACCTTTCCAGTAATATAAGACACAACTTTAAACTCCTAACCTAAACAGAGGACATGCCAGTCTTACCGTCCCAGCTGTGCAAGGTACAGCATATTAAAGACACACAAGTAAAATGACAGACTTAGAACTTTGTAATAAAGCATTATACTGAAACATCAAACTGCATTAACCACTGATTCTTCAATGTCACTGGGACTTAGGCTGTAGAAAGACACTCATTTGAAAACATGATGGGATGTAATCTGTGATCCCAACAATCATGCCTCCTGACCTGCCATATGTACATAGTACAAGGTATGATTTTGGGACTGGCAAGGTACCCAACAATAATCTTATTGTTGGATGGCTCAATGGGGCCCAGGGAGTTAGTTCAAACCCCCACATGGTCCCCAGAGCTGGTGGATGAGCAGCTGATGACTGGCAGATTGGGAGCTCTCTGTGGCTCGAGCCGCAGAACATTCCTAATCTGATCATCAGGTTATCATAGGGGTTGGAAAAATGTGGCCCATGGGCCAGATGCGCCCCACCAGGCCATTCTAACCGGCCCTGTGGGACCCCTAAAAAATTTAGAAAATTAATCTTTGACTGCTTCTGGCTGCCTGTAATGTGGCCCTTGATGGCTTGCCAAAACTCAGTAAGTGGCCCTCTGCCCGAAATAATTGCCCACCCTGGGTTATCAGGAGCACTTCCAGGCTTGAGCCCCAGAAAGCTTCCAATGTGCTGATCAACTGATTGGCCTGCCCCGGGGCTCTAGCTCCAGAGAACTCCTGCTCTGGGGCTGCACAGTGCAGTCCTGACAGTGTGGATGATCAGCTGATTGTCAGCTAGTGGGGACCCCACTGACTACATGTTTAATTTAAGGTGAGATGGAAACCAGTCACAATTACATATATTTTGTGTAATAACCGTGTGCCTGTTTTCTTGTTTTATTATGCCAATAACTGCCTGAATGTGTAGCCAGGTTATACTTTAATTGTGTCTTAAGTGTAATATCTGCCATAGAACTTAGGCACATACTTAAAAGTTGAGTCTATGTGAGATATTTACTGTGAGTTGCCTAATTAGCTCCACAGTAAATGTCTTGGCATCTACACATGCAGGACTATTAGGCTGGAGTAAACGAATAAATTCTACAGCAGTTTTTTATTCCGCAGCAGCACACGTGTAGACGCTGACATGGCTGGCTGAGGCACAAGAGTGCTTCAGTGTGGGGATTGCCTGCTGGCTAGCACTGCGCTGAAGCACCCTCGGTGCCCCAGCCAGCCCCTCCACGGTACATTGAGCTGGGGCAGAGCAGCCCCGGACTGGTAGGCTAAGACCCTGGGCCCCCTGCCAGCCAGGGCTGCTCCAACTTGGCACAACATACTGCAGTCCCGGGCACACATGTAGACATGGTGCCTGGGAGCAATAAACTTTGGTGCAATAAGTGCCAGAGTTTATTGCATTACATTACTATGCACATGTAGATGCATTCAAAGAGAAGCATTTTGGTCCAGCTGTCCAGAGTGATAAGCCATGTAGATGCACAACTGCCCAGGAGGCTTTGCACTGCCAGGGAGAGTGGTTAACTACCTGAGAAAGTAGCCCCTATTTTCAGAAGTGCTAAGTGATCAGCAGCTCCCAATGACTTCTATGCACCACCTCCATGTCTCCTGACAAGCCTAATTCATCTTTGCTGGTATCCATCAGATCCACTGCTGTTTTGACTTCAAAGGAAAATGCAGGAGGAATGAGGTTTTTGGAAGAAATCCAGAAAAGATCAAAATGCTGACAATTAAGAGATCAAAATATATGGTTTCCTGCTGCCTTGTACCCACAGAGTATCTTTACTGTAATTCTCTTTGCAAAAGGTCCTGTATGGATGAATGTGCATGTGCAGAGGCCATCTGTAAAAATTAATTCCCCATTTTGGAGATAAAATGTGGATTTAAAAGGCATAAAAAACAGATGAAAATCACTAGATGTAAAACTTATATTAAGGATTGGTTTTATTAGTTAACAGATTATAGCAGTGATTCTCTCACAAACAGATCTAACTTAATGCCAACAGTTACAACTTACTCACCCAAATGGAAGCTACCGAATTACACAAATACTATTATATACTGTTTCTGATTTATATTTAAAATGTTAAAACCCAGCATGAACTGTTAAATAAAAAATATCATTAAACAATCTCCATCAAAAGTATATTAAATATTTTATATCAGTTTATATAGCTGGACTTCTCAGTTTATTTGATCTTGAGCTGTAATAAAAATTGTGCACAGGTAATTCTAAGAAATCTCCACGCTTAGATTACATCCGGAAAACTCCAAATTCTGTCTTCTTGGTGGGTGCATTTAGTGCTGCACTGAGACTGAGACCCAAAACCAGTCTTGTATCAACTGGGTCAATAATTCCATCATCCCATAACCTGCAAATAAGAATAAAAGGAAAAATTATACAAAGCATTTTGTACCCAATTTCCATTCAGCCACAAAGACCAGACTAACTATTTTTCTTGGGCCATAGAGGATTGAAAAAAGCCAAATTATGATCAAAGATTTGGAGGTACTTTGCATTTGCCATAATGTAGCAAAGTACCATTTAGTGCTTAGTCTGTATTTGTATAATTTGACTTCTAGATTCGCCTAGGAAATTCTAGGCAAAATAATTAGGATAACTTCCCTAGTTAACTAGTGAGGTTATTCTACCCATAATTTTTAGTATTAATGTCCTCCTAAATTCAAGAGAAAATATAATCTGTTTTTAAGTGGAAAAGCAACTATTGTATAAAAATCCGCTCACCCTCCATATCACATTTATATTCTAAAAAGTAAACTACCATCCTTAGTGTTACTGGATCTAGTTTTGTATCAATTTCAGTTCTTTTAAGTTACAAAAACACAAGGATTAAAAGTACTAAAATATTTTTTCTTTTCATCTACTGCCAAGAATAACAGCACTAACGTTTACTGAAGTCCAGTTCTTAACAGACATGAAGCAATCCCTGCCTTAACAAAGTCCCTGAAAGCAATGAATTTATAAAAATATACCATAGTGACAAAAAACCACCCTCAAATCCCAAACAGCTAAAAGGCACCAGTCTCATGACCATTTATGTATGGTATAAGTATGTGAGCAGTCCCTTTGATGTTAAGCATGAGAGTGCTTGCAGGATCAGGACCCAAGAACCTCATCCTGCACCAAATGAAACCCACACCAGAACTCCTAAACATTCTAAAACTTGTACAGAGCAGCACAACTAGGGCAGGCCAAGTAGGGTACCAAAGTTGCTTTCATGGAAGCCTTCACTACTGCAGGCACAGCCCTGCGGTGCCCAGCCACAAAAGCTATGAGTCTGTGCAGCTGGCTGCACTATCCCTGCAACACAGGGTTCCCAGGGCTGTCCCTGGTGCCCTGTTCATTCCCCCCCATCAAAACTCTACTGGGCACAGCTGTGCCTCTCTCAGCAAAAATGTCAGGGAGGGTCACCATTCAGCTTAACTGCCTCTCCTCCTCACCCATATATGCAGGGCTGCCTGATGGCTAGAGAATGATACTTGCTATATTTGCTTTAAAAATGGCTTGTAGGAAAAGAAAATCCAGTGCCAACACTGCCCAGCTTCTATGGCTGAATGGAGTAGGGGTACACCTGCTGCAGCAAAGGCTCCTGGGCTGAGGGTGGTGGGGGCATTCTGGTGCCCTCTGCCAGGCCTGCTCCTCAGCTGCAGCAACCCCATATACTACAGAGTGCAGGCTGCCTGCCCACATAAGAGGTAAGACTCTTTCTTCCCACTTCAGTGGTCAACACAGCCCAGGGCACTGGAGGAGACTGTTATGCCTCTGCCTGCACAGCTAACTCCCTTCAGCAATTACTTAGAACCAAATACTGCAGCCCTTACTGCAGCTCAAGTCCCATTTAAATCAATGTGAATTTTTAACAAATAAGGACTGCAGTATCTGCAGTATCTTTAAATAAAGATTCTCTTCCCCATTCCCCAGGCAAGAGACTTATTTTGCAAGCTTTTCTCAGATTATGACAAAGTTGTCATGATTGACATTTATATTTTGTGTCTTTAAAGAACTGTTCTACTTTAGTGTGTTTCAAAACAATGACAGGATCATGAATGTGTAGCTAACCCTGAATCAAGAACAAAAATACAATTTCCTTCCAGTTAAAGTTTCCAGTTGTCAGCTTTCTATTTAGAGATTATTTTGTATAAAACCTAATTACAAAGGAAACAATGTAGTCAGTGCACAGATCTTAAAGTGTGTGTAAAGAATGAAAAAATCCAGAATTCATACATTATGTGAATATGCACTAGAGTTCTGGTTACCAACAGAAGTTCTAGTGGCCAACAGAAACGTGACACAATTTTGTAAGTCAACCTTATTTTGGCATTTGCTATTAATGTAATTAATAGCAAATCACAGAACATTTTATAATACATAATTATATTTTTATTTTGTAACTTGGGTCAGTAAAAAACAGGACATCTAGGGACTACATTCCTTCATGACACTTATAATAAATGAATTCTATAAAAACAACAAACATAAAAATAAACCCCAATAAATCTCTTACCTAATCTTTTCCTTCCCCTGCGATTTCCCCATGTGCTCCTTTCTTTCCCTTTACTGGGCTAAAAGACTCTGATCCGGCAATGAAAGTTTCCAGCAGGAGCACACTAATGCCTACATGGAGCCATATGCACTTTGCTAGCAGACCCTATGGCAGGATCAGGGCATGGGCTGTGTGCTGGTGCCCTGGATAGCACAGTACAAACCGTTGGCACTTAAGCTCTGGTTTAAGAAAACACGTATGAATAAGTTGAACTTAAAACACACACTTAAGCTCTTTGGGAACTGCTGGAACTCAAACATATGCTTCAAAATAAGCATACGATTAAACAAATTCCCGATCTAGAGGTTCAAACGTTGATGTCAGTCACTATAACCTTCTTGTTGTATGATGATAATATCATAGTGACAGTAACATACCAATGATAATATTATACTGAATATGAGTTTCCTCATAAGCACTTCTCCTTGAGCCATAGAAGAGAACCAGTAACCAGGAGCATAATTAGAAAACTCTTCGTCCAAAAGAGCTAACGGACAAATTCTAATTCGCACTGGATTCAGTGGGAAGATTTCCTTTGACTTTACTGGCAGAGAGGTCAAGTTCTGTGTTCTTTGGGAATAATGAATGTGTCATAACTGTGCACAAGAAGCTAACAGAAGAAAATATCAGTGGGATCATAGTTGGAGATGTACATTTTTAGCACCACAGAATATACACTTCGGCAATTTTCACTGCAGAGCAACTGATCTCTGTATTTTGTGGAATAAATTAAGAAAGTGTCACAGGCCCAATGCAATTAGGCTCAACACTGAAATCTAAAAAACTAACACTGCAATAAAAATCTTTCAAAACTTTAAACACCATTTTTAATAGAATATTTCTTCGTTTTTGTAATAACAAGCAAGACTTTTATTGACAGCCTGGAAGACTTTACACTCCACAAGGTAAAGATTGCTCTCTCAAAGGCGTCACTGCCCTCTGCTTCTCTTTGTTTAAAGAAAGCTACCTTCTGTATTGGGACATAACATTAATAATTAAACAACCTATTAAAACTCCATTGCTGGAACATGAATCACATCTGTGCTCATAAAACATTCATAACAGGGAATCTGTGAGGAAAAGAAATGAACAGCCTAGAAAAGAAAAATGCTCATGTAATTTGTTACAATGTAAACTGATTAAACTCCTTTTAGAAACCTGTAAGCAGATTAATATAGCTCATTTAAAAGGGGGCTGGCTAATGACTCTCGTTAATTAAGACTGTTCAGTGTGAAAGGTTCTAATCAGACAACCGATTAAAGTTTGATTAGAAAACACAACTAAGGGGAAGAATATTGACATCCTGTAAATATGAGTTAGAACTTATAAGCAAAATTACATAAGCAATGTTAATAGAGTAATGTGCTTCCATTTTAAGATCAGAAAAGCATTTCCATCCTCCTTCATTTTAATTGCTCAAGGGTCTGCTCCAAAGCTCACTGAAGTCAAGCAAAAGGGTTCTATTGACCTCAAAGTGCACTGAACCAGGCTGTAAGGGTGTAGACAGAAGCTGACCACTTTGCATACATTTGTCAACTGGATGGCACAAAAGAGATTCATCAAATACTACCTGCCCTGGAATGGTCCAAAGGACTCAGATCTTCTCTCTGTCTACTGACCCTTCTTCTCCTTTGTGCTGGCATTTTGGAAGTTCAGTTAGCTCAAAACAGAACAAGGAGCAATTGTTTCCAGTTGCAGCAAGGGAGGTTTAGGTTAGATATTAGGAAACATTTTCTCACCAGGCGGGTGGCGGAATCTCCATCCACGGAGGTTTTTAAGGCCCAGTTCAACAAAGCCCTGGCTGGAATGATCAAGCTGGGGATGGTCCTGCTTTGAGCAGGGGGCTGGACTAGATGACCTCCTGCAGTCCCTTCCAACTCTAATTTTTTATGATTCTATGAAGAGAAAGCCCATGTTGGCAGAGTCCAGTTCTGGTATCATGATGACTTGATGTTTGACATTTAGCAACATGGGGTAACACTGACTGACATGCTTAGGACAGGAAGGAATTACTCCTCCACCAGCAAATTCTCCTTACCCCTGGGCTGGTGGGTATCCTCAAGGCACAACAGCACATGTCACTCAGAAAGCAAACCGCGACACTGGCTGAAAAATGTCTGCACTCCTAGTTCCATTCTGGGGAAACATCAATTTCTGCAGAACTTACAACGCTGAGTATTATTGGTGACTGATGGACCAGGCCACCAAACTGCCAAAGTGGTATGAAATTTAACATTTAAATCCAATACCACAAGCTCTAAGATTTTCCTGAGGTATATGGAGAAATTAATAACATGATTGGTGGGGACAGGTGTGAATATAGAAACATGGCAGAAATATGAGCTGACCCTAGTAATATGACCAATTCTCTGCCAATAAACAATAAGTTGGGGCTGAGGTTTCCCAAAACATACAATTCAGGCACTGTGATTATAATATCTCAGGCCTGGGACTTAGCTTATTTTAGGTCTCATTTCATAGCTCATTTTGGGACTCCACATAATTAACAGTCAATTAATCTATCCTCCTTTGGCTGAAGAATTAAAGGAAGGTTAAGAATATTCAGCAGATCCTACTGAACTTAGGGCAACTGTTTAGGTCCTTAATTGGACTGGAGCTTTTATTTTCAAAATTACTAGTTAGTTTTGGGTACCCAGGCCGAAGGAGTCTGATTTTTGGAACGGTTTATTAAACTGTCTCCAGCTGAGTATCCAAAATACTGGTGTCACGGCGGGGTCCTCGCGGAGGGCCGTGTGCTCCTTAAGGTCCCTTGCTCCGTGTCAGGCCGGCCCAAGGCACCCTCTAAT